GCTCAAATGCAACATCACAATCATCATTAATCGAAAATCTCTGGAGAAGATTATTTACACCGAAGTGATGAAAATAGCTCGTCGAAAATCGATTAACATGTGCGATTCGAAATCTCGAAGAAATTACTGTAAATAATACATTCTCGACTCTAAAAGATTGTGTAAAATGCCGAATAAAAATTCCTGCGCCACTAAAAATAAACGCACATAATATAATGCCAGACGGCATTTTATTTTAGCCGGAACAATGCAGATTTTTTTTATCCTAGATTGACAGACGCTTTGTAGGCTTTTAGGTTGGATAGATGAGACGAATCTTTGAATAGAATAGACAGGCTTCTCTCCAGAAAATTCTATATGGGTATTTCGCCACTGCAAGAAAATCTACAAAATAAAATAGTTATTTTTTTTTGTAAACACTTCTGCGTTAATCCCAAACGGAAACCACTTGGCAGAAGTTAGGTTTACAGATATACAAATTTGCCTAACGAACAAAAAGATGCTTAACGTTTCGGAAAGTTTATCTCTTTCCGTCGTCGAAAGCAAAATAAATAAATATATATATATATATATATATATATATATATATATATATATATATATATATATATATATATATATATATATATATATATATATATATATATATATATATATATATATATATATATATATATATATATATATATATATATATATATAAACGGGATTTGGTTTAAGTGTTTAATACTCATTTCCAACTACAGCCTATTGCTGCCTTCCCGTTACCCTACGCCACACATCTCGATTTAGAGCGTCATCAGCTTCTAGTTTACGAGCTTCCATTGCTTCCGTAACCGTTCCGTTCCAGGATTTTCTAGGTCTACCTCTCTTTCTTCTGCCCTGGGGAGCCCATTGAAAAACTCTTTTTGGCCACCTGTTCTCCGGCATACGCAGAACATGTCCAAACCATTTTAAGCTGGATTTTTCGATTCGATCCAGTACTGTCTCCTCCGATGCATTCATGATACGCCTGACCTCGATGTTTGTCTTTTTTGTCTTTTTGTCTTTTTTTGTCTTTTTTGTCTTTTTTTAACTTAATTGCTCAAAGAACCCTAAACACGCCTCGGAAAATAAAAATACAAAGAATAAAGAAAAAAACTATTTAAATTCAACTATTCGAGAACATTTTAGTTTTTTAAAACAGATACGTCTACAAAAACCGTTGACGTTCTGTTAAAATGACATCAGATCAAGTTAAACTTCAAAATTAACCATTAACTACCTGATAAAAATTACTTAATAAGGTAAAACCAAAAAGCCCCAAACTTTCTGTATGATTATTTTTAAATTTTACGTATGTTATGTTTATTTATGTTATGTTCTTTAAAATCAAATAAGCGATTGCCATACATTACTAACATCTACAGGTGCATGAGCAATACATTTGTTTTTATTAGATTGTATTAAAAAAGCCTCTTTTACTTTTCTTTTATTTTTGGCGTTATTAAAATTTATTCTGTGCCCTGTGTCCAATGAATGCTGACAAATCTTAAGCCGCGTCCAAGCTAAGCGAACAAAACGTTCGCGAACATATATAATTAGCACTATATACTCGTAGCAGCAGGTCGTAAACGACGACACAGCCTGTCGCATCGGTCCCGAGGACTGAGGTGCGGGGAAGAATGCGACAACCAGTTTACTCTATAGATCTAGGATGCGTTTAGGTACTCGCTGTTTTTTAGAGTGCCCGGCTTAATGTTAGTTGAAAAAATAAATATGGATGATAAGGTGAAAATTGCGGCAGCTGCTTTTATTGTATTGGCTGATGCTTGCAAGAAAAGACAAAAAAATAAACTCTGTAGCGAAATAAAATTGATGCAAAGCTGAGAAAACTACAGTGCAAGCATTTTATTAAATAAATTAACCGGTAAACAGTTTAAGAACTTTTGTCGTTGAAGAATCAATATTTAGCAGGCGGAGGGTCACAGGAGTCTTTTGGTAGATTATTCGTTATAGCGTATTTTTAAGACCTGTATTCATTTTCAGCCGATTCTACCAGGTGTTTCTCAAAAGGGGCTCACAGGGGCTAGGGATTGAAAGAAATCAGTACATAACCCCAGTATATGACATAAATCGGGATTGATTGAGGTATTCAATTACCTTCGGTCGCTTCCTGTTTCACCGGAAATGACTACAACTTTGGATTTTTAGATTGTATCCTAAGTACTTTTTTACTTTATTTGATAGAAAATGACATTCTGAATAGAAAGACATACCATACGTCAATTTTATACATTTACAATTAAATAAAAATAGCATTTTAAATTTCAATCTAGAGTGCCAAGACTGAGTTAAAACTATTAATTTGTAATCAAAGAACTTTGGAAACATATATTTGATCCTGAATTTTTTTTTCGTATCCTTTCATGGCCGCTTAAAAGATGCCCAAATCGTATTTTTAATGATAACTCAAATTTTTCAAATGGTACGAGGCTGGCTCAGCATATTTGGAAAAAGCATTTTTTACGAATAATTTGGTACCACATACTTGGTATTTGGAGTAAAATTTTTAATTGAAAATGGCTAAAGTTGACATATAATAAATCATTCTATTTAGAATGTCATTTTCTATCATATACGGTAAAAAAATACCGAGGAAGAAAAATACCGCAAAAAAAAATCGTCATTGTCATTTCCGGTCAAATAGTAACCGAAAATAAATGAAAACGTCGATCAATCCTGATTTTTGTCCTATACTAACATACCAAATCTCGTTTTTTATCTAAAAAATTAAAAAAGTTATAGAAGTGAACCACTTTTCAGAAACACCCGGAACTTATCTAAAACGTTCTGGAAAACGTTCTTCATTTATAAAAATGAATTTCTGGCTTATTCTGTTCTGGTTTTTATTTCTAGGTCGTTGTTCAAGGTGTTAATTATCCAGAATCCCACATATTTAAACTTGTAGGCCTGGTCTAAGGTATTGCCCTCTATTTTAATGGGAATTCGTACATTTTGGTTCTTTCCAAATATCATGACTTTGGTTTTAATAGAGAAATTGATCTTCATCCCGCATTTCTTACAGGAGCCTTCAAGTCGTTCCACTAAACTCCAATATCAAAGTCGGCAATAAGAACTGCGGCATCGGCAAATCTAATGTTGCTAATGACTTCGTCGTTGACTTGCAATATGTTGAAGAGGAAGCTTCCCGAAAAATCGTTTCAAAATAAACATTAAACAACGAAGGAGACACCACACATTCCTGTCTTACTCCTCTCTATATATTGATTGACTGGATTGGAATTGTCCCCATACAATATAACACACAATATCCGCAGGATATTCATAGAATGTCGGAATGTCCCATTATAACATCATCTTACAAAGACATCTATATAGGATATCCTCCAGACATCCTGAAATCCTGTAGATGTCTCAGAATAGAATATCCTATGGATATCTCTGTCGTATATCTAATGTACATCCAGCTGAGATATCCAAACATGCTCATGATAATAAAATATCCTAACAATATCGTCTAGATATTTAGGAAAAATAAATAATGTACTACTTTTTATATTACATAAAATGCAATAAACCATACATACATATATATATATATATATATATATATATATATATATATATATATATATATATATATATATATATATATATATATATATATATATATATATATATATATATATATATATATATATATATATATATATATATATATATTACGTCAAGGCAACAAAATATCCTGTTGGTATCTTCTGGATAACCTGGATATTTATGAGTTTGGGCACTCCCAGTAATACAGAGAATTTAAAACGCCCGCGCAAAATATTTCCCACAATCCATCTCGACAGTTGTTTGTTTTTGCATCGTGTATTATTCAGTTCTTTGATTTAGTGAAATTCGGTCGTTTGTCGATATTGGATGGGCTTAAAAATGACTGAAACTAACAAAACTAGTTGAGTTTGACTTAGTTTTTTCTTATACTCATAGTTCTAGCCTTGTTCTAGCAGAAATTCTATCCTAACCTCAACCAATGTCGAAAAACGACGAACGACTCAGGGTCTCACAATGAAAAATTTGTGACAAAATTATAGGTGAAAATTTGTTGAAAAGCGCTTGTTCTTTACCCCTAAACCCATTTTTGTGTTTGATCTATTCAAACAGAAATCCTATTTTTGTGTTTAAATTGTGAGTTTCTGGAATGTGTGGTGTTAAAAATTATACCTGTATCCTGTGTGCTAACTTTGATGTAAACTGTTGCTGCTAGACATAAACTGCTAGAATCCATAAAGGGTAGTATAATCTGGTATAATACCATACCATCGAAAAAAACGGCGTCAGAGGTGGCTTGGAAATGAAGATTGCTGTTATTTTGTATGTAAAATTATATGGGGAATGTCATCGATCGTAATTTTTCAAGCCAATTGAACGTCGTTTTTTTTCGATGGTACAGTATAAATTGAAAGGTCTTAACTCATACAAATATACTTCTAAATTTTGACGCAAAATTCATTGACATAATATGTAGGTGTATTTTAGAGGTGTTAATAAAAATATCCAATAAATAACGTCAAAATGTGGCTAAATAAAACTAAATCGCGAACGTTTTTACTATAAACTAAGGATGAAGTAAGTATTGTCAAATAACAGTCCTCATATAATGTCCTAAAATATTCTATAATGCTCCCAACATCATCCTTGTATTATCCTATAAATATCCCAAATAATCGTAAAAGGCTTGCCTAGGGATGTCTTGAAGATGACTTTTTTGTCCCATCTGGATATCCTATAAATATCCTCCTCTTGTTTTTGGATATCCTTAAGATATTTACTATATCCTTGGAGGATATCCTCAAGATATCTATAGGATTGTGTTGTGTTATATGGGTCATTTTCAACTTTCATGTGGGCTGTTTGTTGTCAATATATGGCAACAATATTTATCCTATGTGTTATACAAATCTCTATATAATATTATTTTCTATACTTTTCAGCACCTTCAGTTCTTGATGAATGGTTCGCTCACAGAACAGGCAGTTCGGAATATCAAGATTCTTACAGTAAAGTGGCCATCAACATTTTGAACAGCAGTCAGCAGTATGCAGAACCTTTACCGTCTTCAAGAAGGAAGCCCGATCAACGATGTGTGTGACATTTTCTTTTTGTTTGAACAGATTATCATATATGGAAGATTTGTGGATTCTAAAATAAGATTTAATAAAATGATCTTCTACTTCGCTGCGTGATTTCTTGAATATTTATTCAGAACCAGAAATATTAATCAATATTTTTTTCGGTATTCTCACTTTGGAGAGTAAATATAAGTGAAGCAACATTTTTGAATGTTCAAATGATAGTGGAAGAGGTGTGTGTATCTTCAGTTTGCGAATAATCGCTAAATTAAGTAATAAAAGCTTACGTATATACAGGATGTCCCAGGCTAAGTGTGCATTAGAAGTTTTTAGAGAACTAAAATATCTAGAAAAGAAGCAGAAAAAACACTCAAAGTCTCGGTCTCGACGTTTATATTAAGTTAAACAGTGACACGTGTTTCGTTCATACGAGCATCAGACATCGAATAATCCAATTAATACGACGTTTTACAAATCGTTTTTTTTTTCATTCATCGTAGATTGATTCAAAAGGTAGTACATCTATGAGTAATAACTGAAACACTCAGATTTATTAAGGATAAATCTTTGTGAATGACACAGATGCAACGAATAACCACCCAGACAAACTTTATACGATAACTCGCTTCAATAAAACTTTGCATTAGTATCATCACTAAGATTTGTCTGATTGACTATATCCTTTGCTATGCTCTCCTGAACAGAGTGCTCTCCGCAACGTCTGGCAGCCAGTAGACGTTGCGTTCCCTACTGCGCATCATATCTGTGTTCACTACTTCGCATCACATATTTTCCCTGTATTTCAGGAATTAAGGAGGCTAGGATAAACCTATATTTGTGCCTATGTGTAGTTTCATAAAAAATTAGCAAAGTAATGTGAAAATCGCATCATTGTGTCTTTACTCATAAACGAGAAATCCCATAAAACACACGAAAATGGGATACCCTGTACAGATATAATGCGCAGTAGTGAACCGCAGCCAGACGGCCCACTCTTTGGTCACAGATTATACAGATTACAATCTTTGTTTTTTCTTTATTGTTTTTCGTGGTTCCAATTTTCGGAATCGGTCACTAGTTAGGTTACTAATTTGCGTACATAGCACGCCCACTTATGACCTCTAAAATTGTGCACAGCGCCTGACCGGCACAGTTATTAGAGAGATATCGGAAAACCGAATAGCGTCATGCAGTATTTACGCGTACCTTATCATGGTTACGATATGCGCAAGTCAATTTTTAACGCAACGCCCGCTAATAACGTTACCGCCTGACCTAATTTGCGGATCAATTACACCAAGCGCTCTTTCTAAATAACCTCTGATAACGTTTAAAAATTGCTTAAATGGGCACGTGCGGGTATTTGACAACCGGAGCCGGCCGGCGAGATCTTTTATTTTAGGTTATGTTTGAATTGTTTTGAATTATTGCTTTAGTTTTATTAGGTAATTTGATATTTATGTAGCTGGGATTAGTTTTAATTAAATAAATATGGCCCAAAATATGGATTCCACCTTTTCCAATACTAAAGAACCTATAAAGAGTCTTAAGGTTTACAGCAGATGACGACTTAGCCCTTCTAAGAGAATTTGTTGCTTGTTGCTCTAAACCCATTGGCAGACGTTGAACAATAAAGCACTGGAAATAAGCACTTTAGCCCTTTAGTTTTAAAATACCTAGTAAACAAAACAATTTCAAAGTTTGTAATGAAGTTCATAAAATTTCTAGGACACCCTGTATATTGTGTTAATATTATACTAGAATAATAGAGACTTCATTCTCTTTTAATAATGACAGTCAATGTATTTTATTGTTAGATCATTATTGTAATGAACTTCATTAGTGTTCTTATTGTTGAATTAAATAAGTTAAATATTTAATTGCCATTTTGTAAGAGAGTTTTGATCGGTTTTGGTCGCTAAAGTTTAATGCGAAAAACCGAAACGTTTGCGCCGCTCTCCATAAAAAACAATTTTCGTGCCACGAATTAGGGACAAGATTTTTATCTGTATACTTATAGGATACCTAATCTGTGTTTTGGTCAGGTGAGCATAGCAAAAGATATATTAAAGAACAAACTTCCTTAAAATTCTCATTTTCCCGACGTTGCTAGCTCTTGTACTATTAAATTTTTATTAAGGATAGATTAAATTTGTCAAAAAAAGTGTCAAAACGTCCGTTATCGTTCGATCTTTCTCCGTGCGAATTTAATATTTGTTTCATATAATTTTAGGGCAGATCAGCCATTAACAAATAAAGGGTGTGGGTAGTAGACAAAGTGCAATTTTGAGCGGTCAGTCTAAAACTCTCAATTTTGCTGGCTCTTGACCCAAAACAGCTTATTGTTTAGAGAAAATTTATAAAAACAAGAATTATAGAAAGAAGGGTTATTTACAAAAAGTTGATAGCTTTTCAGTTATAAGTAAAATACCACGAACAATTTTTTTTTAAGTATTTTAGTTGCTGGCGCGCCCCTCACATTCGGCGCCCCGGGCGGTCGCCCGGGTCGCCCGGCCTTTCCGCCGGACCTGAATGGACATGTTTTAGCCCAAAGTCTTAATCCACTTTGCCCACTTTTTTGGAAATAGAGAATCTTGACAGTGTGCTCAAGATATTTGGACACATAATATAACAAATAGATAAATATCAATCGAGAATAAAAGCATTCTCTTTAAAGGCCTCTATTATTTTTGATTTAAAAAAATACTGTGATACATACGCATAATAATTTTATTTATTGATATTGGCAGTAGTCCTTTGTCCTCTAATACACACATTTCAAATAAAATATGCTCCAATTTTCGTTTTGAAAAAAACAAAAAGTCGCTTGCCGTTTACATACAGACATATTTATGCGTTGAATAAAATTTATTTAGTCTGGACACGCTCTGAAAATAAATACCATTTTCCTCTAGCATACAAGTGGTTCACGACAATAAGACAAACCAAGCCAGATCTCTCTATGAATCAGCTTGATATAAAATAGATGAAACGGATGAAAATAGACATTGGGAATCTAGTAAATTTGAAATTACGCGAAATTTTTTATAACTGTGCGGTTGTAAAATTCCGCAAAATATCATCATGCGATGATGAATTATCTGTGTTTGGATATCAACAATGGTTTTAATGTTCGGCGGAGGTCAAGTTGACTATAAGAACAGGAAAATGTAGTAAATCGGAATAAAAACTTTATACTAGTTTATTCTTCTAGGATTATGGCCAAAATAAACACCTAAACCTGGAAATTCATTGTTTTTTCAGACTCTAAGGATTGACTAACGTCTATCCGCCAAGAGATGGAACGCTTTCGACAGACATTAATATTCAAAAATTAATAGAAAGAAAAAACAGTTTAACTGTCACTGTCTCCATCCTACGTATAATTCAGACGTCAAACTTTTTTAAGCTTGATTTTCATACATCCGTTATCCGTTGATACGTTTTCGCGCCACTTTTCATCCGTAAATTTGTATATTTTATACTCAAGCCCGTCAACGGAGAAAGATCTTTTTTTTTTGGTGAGGGGGTGGTTTAAAAATCTTTTATAGACGAATAGTGATCATTTCCATGGTCATCTCGGGAGAGACAGTCATAGAAATAACCCCTAGACAGTGTGGGATTCGAAATACCCACTAAAAACGATCCACCTCCGAGGAATCAGCGGCCGAAGAATGGCAGCTCTTATTCCTGCTTGTGTGTTGGGTGTAATACAATTTGATAGACAATTTAATTGTGCATCTGATTCTCCTAAAATATACAGGGCATTCCATTTAAATTAAAGAAGTTATTGCCGTTTGAAGCTAATAATTATTTAAAATAAATTTTTAGACACTCTGTATAAGGTAGTATTATTTTTATTATTGTAACACAATAACTGATCAATAAATAAACTTCATTAAATATTTAGTATTATAAACATTGATACCCTTGGAGAAATGAAGCTTTAAAATTTTTACTGCAATTTCACAAAATTGAAAATATTTCAAAAACGGTAAGGTTTAAGTATAATAAACCTTAATCAAATTTACCTTTATTTTAATCGTAGAAACTAAAAATGTAATAATATACAGGGTGTTCCATTTAAAAAAATACAACTTTGAAATTTTTTATTTATTTGGGACACTCTGTATCTTGTAAAAATATTTTTAAATTGTAGCTCTAATAGTCCTTCAACGAACCCCAAACTTACAATTTGTAAAAATATCATCGTTTAGCCACAATACTCCGTGTCGTATGTGGTGAACAACCCTGTATATTAACCTTTAAAATACATCAAAGTTTTAAGGTGCCTATTTTTCGTGCCGGTGAATGTATTTCACAAACTATACATTTTAGTCATATACTAAAAAAATAAACAAACCTTTATTTTTTTACTAGAATCCAAAAATCCATTAATATATAGGGCGTTCTATTACAAAAAACATAACTTTGATGTCTAACTTTTTTTGGGGACACCCTGTAGAACTCTACATCCTTTTAGAAAATGCTTTAAATAATGACACATAAGCTCACAAAATTTCACTTCAATACAAAGTCTTGTTCTCCTTGCAAAAACCGCGTCGTATATGACGCGCCACTCTGTATAATTCGATTTCAATCAAAATTCCAATCATTAGAAATAAGCAGAATAGGTATAGCTTATGCATTAGATTTATTGATATCAATAAATTTACTTAGAAAAAGAATTAAAAAAATCAAAAAATTAAGAAGGGAATAATTAAGAATTTACTAAAATGACTAAAATAAAAAATTATAAGTAACAAAAAAAAAAATGAGTAAACATTTTAATATTTTATCTATAAAACACAATACAGAAGGTTTCACATCAATACATTCACAGTAATTGAATTCCGAGGTAAAAGTCTCTGGGAACTCCACTACCAGCTATTGACAAGATATTTTGTGTGACAAGCAGTTAAATTTGCTGCATTTAAGGGAATGACTATTGGATCTTTGATTAACAACTAATTCCAGAAGAATTTCTATTTTTGCACTTAGATTAAATCTTGTCTGGCCGTAAAGTGGTTAATTTAAGCACCAAAACAAATAAACTCTAA